ATGGACTCTAGTTGTAGTAAATTATTTTTACTTCATCACATGAACAGGCACCGATGCCTTCTCACCAGGCCAATGGACTGGCTCCTACATAACGGTGAAGAGATTTTGCGAAAAATGATGAACTAAAACAAACGAAATGAACAACGAACAAACCAACCAAAAATCCACAAGGAAACAAACACCATGCAGACAAGGCCGCGCTGACCTTGATCAGAGAAATTTCTATTGCATTCAAAATGCACGAGGAGCTGCCGATCAGCCAATCAGCTACCAACGTACCCTTGTTGCCGTCTACTCCTTTTTCTAGGCGCCAAGGTGATCTCTCGACTTTCAAATCAAACACAAGTTACTGTATTTTAAACTTTCGGTGTATTTTATTTTTCGGTACTTTCGGTGCGTCTGCTTCGTACCTAAAATTTCAATACACCGAACAAACAAATCTCTTATTGGCGATGGTGCCATCGTGAGAATAAAGAATTCGAAAAAACATACTAAAACGCATAATCCAATAGGGAACTGCTTCTCTGTACCGAAAATTTCTGTTCACCTAACCTGGCCTTTTGCCCTCATACCTAAAATATTGAGCAACTAATTCTGAATCTAGAATATACTAAGGGGCCGTCCGTAAAGATCGAACATTTTTCACCAAATGAATTATTTTAGTTTAGACCCTACCCCTCCCTCCCTCCCCCTCAAAACGTACAACATGTACATGTAGAACAAAAGTTGCAAGTGCAAGTGTGTCATTGCTCCAACGGCCATGTACATGCATCAATGTTTCTGAAACGAAATTGGTCAACCCCCTCCCACCCCATAACGAAATTATTTCGTTTTGTGAAAAAAAGTTCGTTACAGTCAGACCTCGCATAACCGCACACATCCGTTTTCCACAAAAATGTCCGGATAGGCGAGGGAACCGGATAACCGAACACCGGTTATGCTGGATACATCACGTATGCTGTAAATCTGTAACCAGTTATTTTCTTCCGGATGGCGAGGGATCCGGATAAACGAGGACCGGATGAGCGAGGTCTGACTGTAATTATGGACGAGCCCTATTAAGAAGGGTGGTCCGTAATTTTCGAAAAATTAAAAAAATCCGTCATCAAGCAAAAAAGAGGGTGGGTGGTCAAGAGCGCTGGCGGAATTTAATTTTTTGATTTTCGTACTTTTTCTTTTCTTCAATGGCTTTTATGCACTTCTTGCACTGACTGTACTGTGGATCCATGTAGCGTAACGCAGTGTAGGGTCGATTGTCGCAAACACCCGTGTGATGTACAATCATGTAGGTGTAGGTTGTGCATGGCCGTCGGTACACCTACTACATGTACTTAGCTACTGTACAATATGTACTTAGCTACTGTACAATATGTACTTAGCTACTGTACAATATGTACTTAGCTACTGTACAATATGTACTTAGCTACTGTACAATATGTACTTAGCTACTGTACAATATGTACTTAGCTACTGTACAATATGTATTTAGCTACTGTACAATATATACTTAGCTACTGTACAATGTGTACTTAGCTACTGTACAATATGTACTTAGCTACTGTACAATATGTACTTAGCTACTGTACAATATGTACTTGACACAGGTGCAGTTAGTGAACACAGTGCGAGGAGTTCTTATTTTCTAGCTGGGCATGTGGGAAAATCCAAAAAATGAATTGGAAAAATGGCGGTGGATGAGTGGGTGGGTGGGTCAGAGACAATTTTGCATGAGGACGGATTTTTTAATTTTTCAATAATTACGGACGCCCCTAATGGTTCCTTTCACCTCCTACACGAGAGCAGGTAATGGACACGGAGGAACGCAGAGCAGCATTCATTCAGCGCAGAGCAGCATCCATTCCGGGCAAAACAGCTAAAATGCAAGTGAGGCTGCATGCCCGAGAGTACATGAGTATAATTATGCAGTCATTTTCTGCGTTTCTACTCCAAAAGTACATTTGGACTGGCTACAAAGATTACAGCAAAGCACCACACAAGGATTATTTTCTTGAGATTTGTTTGGCAGAAGGCCTCTCCTTGTGCTTGGCCCAGGCCAAATATAACACCTCGGTGGAGTAAACAAATAACAACTCCCAGATGGACTTGATTGCTGGCCATAACCCCAATCAAAAAGGCCTAGATTTTTCAACAATCAGAAATTAGGTCATCTGCCTCATACTGCTCTTTTTCTCTCCGAAGCTCAACACTAACAAGCCAGCACGAAAGGATAAAAAGGAGACAAAGATCAAAACGATGCAGCTGGTTTCGTTTACTAACACATTGAAATTCAACTCTCCAACTCTCAGTTTGATGACGATTTCTGATGATTATCATATGAAAACGACGTTCAAATCTTAAAATATTGTTCCATTGTTCTCGTGGTATAAGTGCGCTCGCTTTACTTTCATCGATATCAGGCTTCTTGTCTGCACGCCGTGTGTGTGTGTATTGGGGGGGGGGGGGCAATTAGGGTGAGTGGAGGAGGAGGGGGTGGTGGTTGTCCTCGTGTATGTCTGCTCTGCAGCCGGCACTCATTGACGGGGTACATACCTACTGCAGTCCTCCCTCTCTGTTGTTTGCCTTGTGTACTTGCCATCACAGAGGGCCCAATTCCGCTCTGAGACCAAACGTCAATTTCACCACATTTGAGCTCTTCAATAATCCGCTATCGCTCTCAGCCGCTTGCCCTCTGGCTGTGTTAAACAACATCGTGAACTGGAATACCCAACAGACTGGTCTCTCTGACGCAATATATTTGGACAATGCTGATGCTGATGACTATGCACTCCGGGCCGAGATAAACAGAACTGCCACGTGTAAGTCTTGAAATTCTGTTCACGACATTACATCAGCACGGGGTGGTGACCATGGCAACTCACTTTACCGCAGAGAGTTTTGTTCAGTTGCTGCTGTGCTGGCAGGGGAAAGCATTCAAGTTGGAATTGGGGGAGGTGGAAGGTTCAGTACGGGAAACAGCTCCACAGGCAAAACAAGGCTTTGCCTAGTCAAGTGTAGTGTAATGTGTGGTGTGATGTGGTGTGTGGTGTGTGGTGTGAGGTGTAGTGTGCTGTGTGGTGGGAGGTGTGGTGTGATGTGTGGTGCCAGGTGTGGTGCCAGGTGCTGTGCTGTACGTGTGCTGTGCTGTACGTGTGCTGTGCTGTACGTGTGCTGTGCTGTACGTGTGCTGTGCTGTACGTGTGCTGTGCTGTACGTGATAATATTATGTCATGTGATGTGTGGTGTGATGTGTCGTGCCAGGTGTCGTGCCAGGTGTGGTGCTGTCATGTGCTGTGCTGTACGTGACATGTCATGTGATCTGTCATGTGATATGTCATGTGATCTTGCCCTTGTTGCTATCCATACTCATCATTGGTGTGCAGGTTACGTTATCCCCTGCTGTTCCCTGCTGCGTCCTTTTTTTGCTATTCCCCCTGCCCAGTGAATCCGTGCAAGGACGTGCCCCTTGTGTGCGATACGTTCGGACGCCTGGGCTGCCACTGCCGCAATGACCCGCCGCCTCTACCAAGTGCCACCAGCAGTACTGGTGGCAGCAGCAGCAGCTCAATGATACCAGCGCTGATGACGCCCGCTTACAACGGCACGACGTGCGTGGAGAAGGATGCGTGCGGTGATGCCTGCTCCAAGGCGGTGGACTGCAAGCCGGAAAGTGCCATCCTGTCAAGCTTTACCTGCACGTGTTCAGATAGCAAGGTACCGGAAGACGGAAAATGTGTTGGTGAGTACAAAGTGTAGGTGTGTGTGTGTGTGTGTGTGTGTGTGTGTGTGTGTGTGTGTGTGTGTGTGTGTGTGTGTCTGTGTGTGTGTGTGTGTGTGCGTGTGTGTGTGTCCCATATGGTGCAGTGGTATGTGCAGTCGATTTCTAATCGAGAGGTTGCGGGTTCAATTCCCGACGATTATGGTCGCACATGTCTTTCTTCTCTTTCTCATTTTCCTAGCTCTTCTTTCATTCTCCTGGGTGTTTACCAGCCAGTGTATGCCGGAGTATGTGGTGTAGTGTTTGTGTGTCGAAAAGGAAAAAAAAGGAAAAAAAGAATGAAAGAATAAAAATAAATAAAAATGAAAAATAGGGATTCACTGGCCAGAAAAAGCCACTTCAATTAGCTGTGTGGTGGATACCAGGCTAAAAACAGTGGCGGTCAATTCATCAGCCTTGCAAGCTGTCGAATGGTGTAATCCCAGCACTAGTTGCTATGTCTAACATAGCTATCATTGCTTCAGCGACATGCAGGTCTGAGGTGTGTTTGTGTGTGTGCGTGTATGTGTGTGTGTGTGTGTGTGTGTGTGTGTGTGTGTGTGTGTGTGTGTGTGTGTGTGTGGTGGAGTTGCCAGCGTGGATCAGTGCAATGCCAGAACTGCCAGAGGTGGTTCCGCAGCAAGGGTGGCTACTCTGTTCATCGATGCCAGCCTGTCACGAGTTCTCCTACACCAACAGTCAGTCTGTCTGTGCCACTTTCAGCTTGTTGCCAGCAGCACTGCCCAACATGTCAGCGATGCTTCCGTTCTGCGGCCGGGTTCAAGCGTCACAACTGCAATCGTGGTGCGAGACCATCTGCTGCTGAGAGAGCAGCTCTGCCCCTCAGCTGCCCACGTTGTAAACGCAATTTCCGCCGGCAGCAGGACCTAGCCAGACATTCGCGGTCCTGCTTGTGATCCGTGTCCCGTTTTCTGGTCCCCTTTCCATAGGGGTGACACTTGCCCCTCTGGGCAGTCATGCTGCTAGTAGTAGTAGTAGTAGTAGTGTGTGTGTGTGTGTGTGTGTGTGTGTGTGTGTGTGTGTGTGTGTGTGTGTGTGTGTGTGTGTGTGTGTGTGTGTGTGTGTGTGTGTGTGTGTGTGTGTGTGTAAACATTGTTCTCGCCGTTGTGGACGGCCTGGGGTGTCCCCAGCCGTCCAGACCAACAGTGCCTGAGGTGGGGTATTCACCTCCAGGAGACTTGGTTGGATAGTTACGATGCCGACACTCTCCTCGTCGCCCCCACCTCGTAGTCCTTCGCGAGGCTTTGCAAGCCCGCGAGTGGAGCAAACTACCGCACGAAGACGACGACTTGGAACGACTCTGAGCGTTGGCTCATGGAATGTTCGCTCTGTTGTGGAGAGTGATGGACCAGTTCTAGCGGCAGCCGTGAGAGGAATCGTTTCCGATGATAAGCCAGAGCCATAGCTGCTGGAGATGGCTCTCTCGAACATGGTCCCGCTCGTCGTTCTATATTGTCGGCCCCGTAAGGGGACACGTGACCGTAATGGCAGTGTTTACCAGGACCAGGACCAGGTGTGTGTGTGTGTGTGTGTGTGCATGTGTGTGTGTGTGCATGTGTGTGTGTGCATGTGTGTATGCATATGTGTGTGTGTGTGTGCATGTGTGTATGTGTGTGGGTGCGTGCGTGCGTGCGTGTGTGTGTGTGGGGGGGGGGGGGGGGGGTGTGCGTGCATTCGTGTGTGACAACTTACGGTGAAAATGTAATTTCACAAAATTTCAGTGTACTTTTCTTTTCGGTACTTTCGGTGCTTCTGTTTCATACCTAAAATTTCAATACACCGAACAAACACTAACACACATAATCCAATAGGGAACTGCTTTTCTGTACCTAAGATTTCTGTTCACCTAACCTTGCCCTTTGCCCTCATGCCGAGAATATTGAGCACGTAAACAAATTTCTGAAATTAGAGCACTTTGAAGTCAGCCAAAGAAATGGTATTCACTCCGTGCATCAGTATGTCAACAACTGTATGTGTGCTGCAAGTTGAACATGTCCAACATTACTTTTGCATCATAATATAATTAGATAATGGTGGATCGGAGCATGCAACAGTTAGCACGAGACTGATGCGGCGACACACTGACACTCGACTGCCTCACTCAGTGTTCAATAGAGCAGGTCAGTGCTGTGAATCAAATCGACGACGGCGGCGGGTCAAGGCACCTTCAAAACGTGATCTCTGTTGCCAGGCGGTCTCCGTAGAGGCCATTCACACGACGTGCAAGCACTTGCACGCATGTGACCAAGATATCAAAATGCAAACCGCGATCCAGTTCACAAGGTGCTGGACAAACTTTGCATGCGTCACTACAGCCACAGTGAACCCCTAAAAATGCCAGGACATTTTAAATTTTGAATTCTCCTTTTGAAAAATAATAGTACCCCTTCAGAAAGTGGTGGACATCACGCAACTGCATTGTAAATAAAAGAGGGGATTGTCAACTGACAACCGCTCTATTTAGTTGCTATTCACTTTGACAAACCAAACCCCCTTGTATTTAATAGTTCCCGTGCTACATTAATTTTGCAGCGCGCGCTTTCAACAAGCAACACTTTTGCTCGTGTGCAAAGTATAATCGTGTGCACAGAGGCCCCGGCCAAGTTAAAAAATCAGATGCACGCCTGGGTCCAAGTTTATCGTATGCGAGTAAATATCCTTGGAAACGGTACGGTAAAGGGAGTTTGAACGTCATCTGAATGGCCCATTAGCCAGGGCCATTTGGCTGAAATAGCATCCCTTCGTCCTGGTTGCTGGAGGTTTGCTAGAGCAGGTGGTCACCTTATCCGAGTGGTCGCCTTATCCAAGTGGTCACCTTATCCGAGTGGTCACCTTATCCGAGTGGTCACCTTATCCGAGTGGTCACCTTATCCGTGTGGTCACCTTATCCGGGTGGTCACCTTATCCGAGTGGTCACCTTATCCGAGTGGTCACCTTATCCGTGTGGTCACCTTGTCCGTGTGGTCGCCTTAACAGGTTTTACTGTATTCCGCTAGCGACTGCACATTCGTAGTCGACAATATCTTGCATGTATTACTAAATCATTAGGTTTGGGCTTCACAGACGAATTGTAGTATGCGTGATGTACGTGGTGCATAAATGGTGAACAGGTGGTAGTGTATCTCGACATGTCGTCCTTATAAGCAATATTTACAGTGCGCTCTAGGACAATTTGGGGAAGCCAACTCTCATGGCCACATGAGTACGGAAACTCCATGCCTCTACCACACTTCTGCCAACTTTCACCAGGCTCAAACCTGGCACAGTCAGACCTCGCTTATCCGCTCCTCTCTTATCCGGATCCCTCGCCATTCGGACCGAAATCGCCGGTTACACTACCACCTGTTCACCATTTACGCGCCACGTACATCGCACATGCTACAGTTCGTCTGTGAAGTCCAACCCTAATGATTTAGTAATAAATGCAAGATATTGTCGACTACGAATGTGCAGTCAAAAAAGTGTACAATTAGGGGTAGAAATAAAGCAGGTCCCTTGAGCGGTCGTCTTACACAGGTTTAACTGCACTTCTTCCAGTAGATGGGTTCATTTATTTCTACCCCTGATTGTACACTTTTTTTATAAGTAAATTAAAGTGAATTATCGTGCCCGTTCCCGAAGGGAACTCACGACGGCCGCTAACACTCTGTGAACCCTAGCGGCAGATGCAGCGTCTAACGGTGTGTATGAGTGGATAAGTCTCACGACCGCTGGCACAAGTGCCGAGAAAGACGCTGTTAGACTCATCCATGTACCCCGTGTGCCCGGCCACAAGTTCCTACTTGACTGTGGGTAGCAGCACGGCTGGAAAAACAGCTACCATGCAGAACTTGAACCAGGCACCTCTGGTATCTCCAGCATGGTCATTGACCAGCCCACTGTCCCTGCCTGGTTGCAATATACTATAGGGTCAAATGTCTAGTCGAGATTTTGCAAGGTCACATTGCATACGACAGCAAAGCATATATAATAATAATAATACCCACAGCTCGCATCTTCCCTGAACCTGTTAGACAGGAGCAGAGCGACGCATCTGTCAACAGTGTCAAAGCATGTATATTTTCTATTTAAATGCGCAAGTACACACGGGCTGCAAGCACAATTACATGGAAGTGAATGTGATAATGGCGAAAAACAAGGTGGCGGAAGGGGGTGGACGGTGGCAAAGCAACAGGGAGGAAAATTCAGGAGCAAAATTAACAATTGCACAAATATGAGAGTACCTGAAATCAATAGTACCTGTATGCTAGTACATGCATTTTAGTATTTCGGTAACATTTGGACTGGGTACGTCCGCTAGGCTCAAAAGCAGAATCTCTTTGTCGAGTTGACAGGTAACAATGATCTCGTACAGGAAACCGGTGTTTTGGGCTGTTCACTTATTGTTATTCCCCATGTCAGTGAATGTCAGTGAATTTCTCGTGTGTTTCTATTATTTACAGTTGTCACTTGTACCGTACCTATTATCACAAATGGGCAGCACGCTGTACCGGAAATATCTTCCCAACAAAAGGCCAACTATTCATGCAGTGCTCATCATGTGTTAGTTGGAGATGCACAGCCAGCATGCCAGGCTAATCGCACGTTGACTTCAACACCCACATGCAAAGGTGAGCAACGTGTACATTGCTAAAGTTGAAATTTCTTTAGCGACGGGAACCTTGCAGCTCGCGGCAGCCATTTTCGTGTCTCAGCTGTTTCAAGTCATTTGTCAGGTCGCTAAAAGGGGCATTGTGAACAGGCCTTAGTAAGGTAAGATATCGACAACCTTAGCAAAAGTACGATAACGCTAACTTCAACGGTACTCACTTCCAGCCGTGACAAAAGACGTTATCAGGTAACGGAAAAACGTTACGGAGGTCAAAATAACGGGCCGACGTTCGTTATGGTAATTCTGCAAAATTGGCATTGTTTTGTAACTGGTGGGAGATAAAAAGCACGTGCAGATCGAGATCAGAGTCAAGATTGCTTCCTCTTGTGACATTTAGCTTTTTTTGGCGAGTTTTGGCTTTCAGTTGACAATGTCTGCGTCATCTGCTTCGTGCCTTTCACCCTCTATCCCATCTGGGAAACAAAGGACCGGTTCCGCGGCACTCCTGAGCTGCGGAAGAAATTCATCAGCCTTTCCCAGACGTGCTGGAGCTGGAGAACCCCTACAGTCTTCGGTGCTGCGTTTAGGAAAGGTTTTTCAAGGACTGGGGAACAGCGAAAACTCATTTTCGCCGTGTCTTTGCCATTCCTGAGTGAAAAACCTCGCCAAGGTATTCATTCGGAACGACAGCAAGCTAACCCCAGGTTCAAAATTTTGAATTTCCCACACTTGTTTCCACGAAAATTCACATCGCCATGGTTGTCACGACTACTTCGTCTGAACTATAATGTACATTGTGCTATGGGAAAAGCACAGCAACATGTGCAGCTGATGGCACTATACTAACACCCAGTTGTCCAGGTGAGCAAAACGGGTATCAATGTATCCTGATTAGATGACGAGTATAACAAAGTGTGCCAGCCTTTCAACACTGTTATTCGTGCAACTGATGATGTACGGGTCACACAATGCAGGATGTACTGTTGTTTTCATGATATCTGCAACTATGTGAGAGAGACACCAAAAAGTTAGGGTGCCAGTTTCCAATGAATGGACTGTAGCGACACCTGGGTATCATCGTTCAGGCCAACCTGAAGTGGAATGCCAACATCCAGCACATCGAGAGCAAAGTTGCGCGCACTCTCCACCTCTTGAGACGGATTCGTGGACGTCTTTCACCCACCGCCCTGTCAGCACTGTACACCACGTATATACGCCCCGTTATCGAAATATGATTCTCTGGCTATGTCAGCTATGAATGTTCAGCAACAAGATGCCCTCGAACGTCTCCAACGGCGGTCAGCAAAACTCTGCCTCCGACTCCCCCTCTTCAGTCCTTGCCACCACAGTTCGTTACTCCACCACGTCACTTGGCCTACCCTCTCATCCCGCAGGAAGCTCAAGCGGCTACTCTTTGCACACACCATCGCTGTCAAACGATCCCCACCACACATCTAGCTTGCGACCTCCGGCTACATCACGGAGCCACCAAGCCGAGAATTGAGGCGTCATCGAGTCTTTGCCCTCCCCACCACCCACTCCACCCGCCTTCAACGTTCACCCTTGTACTCAGCATGCACTCAGTACAACCACCTGCCACCACACTGGTACTCCCTCCGAGAAATAAATGCATTCAAAAGAGAGGTTACCCCGATCATAGTATCATCTATTTGCACATGCTCCAACCCCCGCTGTAGCCCAGCCTAGGTATAGTATTTTAATCAAGGTATATCGCCTACCTGCCCTCGCAATGGATATACTTCCCTCCTCGTCTTTACTTAAATGAAGCACCCAAACCACGGCTGCCACTAGCCACTGTTTCTCCCGGTTTATTGCACCCACTCTGATTGATAACACATAGTACTGTCTCTCTCTTATTGGCTATGGCCACCGTGAGAATAAAGATAATAATGTACATTGTGCCATGGGAAAAGTCAGCTTGTACGATCCGAAGTACGGAAAGGTTTGCGTTTACGTTAGCGCTTTTTTTAGCTAAGGATATCTAATAGTGAGGTTCTGCTTCAGGTTACGGGGATGCGATGCGAAGAATCTCCGGACCTCTCTTCGCGTTTCCGTAGTGCTAAGAACATCTGTTGTGCTCTACGCCACGTAGAGACAGCACGTGGAATGTGCACTGGGAATTTCTCCTTCCATATTTGGTATTTGATCGATGCCCAGCAGGTCTCTACGCTTTGCATGTGCCACAACGTAGAGAACAGCATCTAGTCGTAGAAATCTGGACTCAAAACATGCCAAGATGTAGACTCTAGCCCAGACACCTAAACATGTTAACCATACAGCTTGCTTAAGAGCGCCTAGGTCTATTGCTTTATAACCTAATAGTGTAACCTTTCATTTACTGTTTTCTAGCTGTGACCTGCCAGGTGCAACCTATCAGCAGCGGGACATCTAGCCAAACAGGGACGATCAGATATCAAGAATCCGTAATCTACACCTGCAATACTGGCTACACACTGAGTGGAGTGAGCACAGCAACATGTGCAGCTGATGGCACTATACTAACACCCAGTTGTCAAGGTGAGCAAAACGGGTATCAATGTATCCTGATTAGATGACGAGTATAACAAAGTGTGCCAGCCTTTTAACACTGTTATTCGTGCAACTGATGATGTACGGGTCACACAATGCAGGATGTACTGTTGTTTTCATGATATCTGCAACTATGTGAGAGAGACACCAAAAAGTTAGGGTGCCAGTTTCCAATGAATGGACTGTAGCGACACCTGGGTATCATCGTTCAGGCCAACCTGAAGTGGAATGCCAACATCCAGCACATCGAGAGCAAAGTTGCGCGCACTCTCCACCTCTTGAGACGGATTCGTGGACGTCTTTCACCCACCGCCCTGTCAGCACTGTACACCACGTATATACGCCCCGTTATCGAAATATGATTCTCTGGCTATGTCAGCTATGAATGTTCAGCAACAAGATGCCCTCGAACGTCTCCAACGGCGGTCAGCAAAACTCTGCCTCCGACTCCCCCTCTTCAGTCCTTGCCACCACAGTTCGTTACTCCACCACGTCACTTGGCCTACCCTCTCATCCCGCAGGAAGCTCAAGCGGCTACTCTTTGCACACACCATCGCTGTCAAACGATCCCCACCACACATCTAGCTTGCGACCTCCGGCTACATCACGGAGCCACAAAGCCGAGAATTGAGGCGTCATCGAGTCTTTGCCCTCCCCACCACCCACTCCACCCGCCTTCAACGTTCACCCTTGTACTCAGCATGCACTCAGTACAACCACCTGCCACCACACTGGTACTCCCTCCGAGAAATAAATGCATTCAAAAGAGAGGTTACCCCGATCATAGTATCATCTATTTGCACATGCTCCAACCCCCGCTGTAGCCCAGCCTAGGTATAGTATTTTAATCAAGGTATATCGCCTACCTGCCCTCGCAATGGATATACTTCCCTCCTCGTCTTTACTTAAATGAAGCACCCAAACCACGGCTGCCACTAGCCACTGTTTCTCCCGGTTTATTGCACCCACTCTGATTGATAACACATAGTACTGTCTCTCTCTTATTGGCTATGGCCACCGTGAGAATAAAGATAATAATGTACATTGTGCCATGGGAAAAGTCAGCTTGTACGATCCGAAGTACGGAAAGGTTTGCGTTTACGTTAGCGCTTTTTTTAGCTAAGGATATCTAATAGTGAGGTTCTGCTTCAGGTTACGGGGATGCGATGCGAAGAATCTCCGGACCTCTCTTCGCGTTTCCGTAGTGCTAAGAACATCTGTTGTGCTCTACGCCACGTAGAGACAGCACGTGGAATGTGCACTGGGAATTTCTCCTTCCATATTTGGTATTTGATCGATGCCCAGCAGGTCTCTACGCTTTGCATGTGCCACAACGTAGAGAACAGCATCTAGTCGTAGAAATCTGGACTCAAAACATGCCAAGATGTAGACTCTAGCCCAGACACCTAAACATGTTAACCATACAGCTTGCTTAAGAGCGCCTAGGTCTATTGCTTTATAACCTAATAGTGTAACCTTTCATTTACTGTTTTCTAGCTGTGACCTGCCAGGTGCAACCTATCAGCAGCGGGACATCTAGCCAAACAGGGACGATCAGATATCAAGAATCCGTAATCTACACCTGCAATACTGGCTACACACTGAGTGGAGTGAGCACAGCAACATGTGCAGCTGATGGCACTATACTAACACCCAGTTGTCAAGGTGAGCAAAACGGGTATCAATGTATCCTGATTAGATGACGAGTATAACAAAGTGTGCCAGCCTTTTAACACTGTTATTCGTGCAACTGATGATGTACGGGTCACACAATGCAGGATGTACTGTTGTTTTCATGATATCTGCAACTATGTGAGAGAGACACCAAAAAGTTAGGGTGCCAGTTTCCAATGAATGGACTGTAGCGACACCTGGGTATCATCGTTCAGGCCAACCTGAAGTGGAATGCCAACATCCAGCACATCGAGAGCAAAGTTGCGCGCACTCTCCACCTCTTGAGACGGATTCGTGGACGTCTTTCACCCACCGCCCTGTCAGCACTGTACACCACGTATATACGCCCCGTTATCGAAATATGATTCTCTGGCTATGTCAGCTATGAATGTTCAGCAACAAGATGTCCTCGAGCGTCTCCAACGGCGGTCAGCAAAACTCTGCCTCCGACTCCCCCTCTTCAGTCCTTGCCACCACAGTTCGTTACTCCACCACGTCACTTGGCCTACCCTCTCATCCCGCAGGAAGCTCAAGCGGCTACTCTTTGCACACACCATCGCTGTCAAACGATCCCCACCACACATCTAGCTTGCGACCTCCGGCTACATCACGGAGCCACCAAGCCGAGAATTGAGGCGTCATCGAGTCTTTGCCCTCCCCACCACCCACTCCACCCGCCTTCAACGTTCACCCTTGTACTCAGCATGCACTCAGTACAACCACCTGCCACCACACTGGTACTCCCTCCGAGAAATAAATGCATTCAAAAGAGAGGTTACCCCGATCATAGTATCATCTATTTGCACATGCTCCAACCCCCGCTGTAGCCCAGCCTAGGTATAGTATTTTAATCAAGGTATATCGCCTACCTGCCCTCGCAATGGATATACTTCCCTCCTCGTCTTTACTTAAATGAAGCACCCAAACCACGGCTGCCACTAGCCACTGTTTCTCCCGGTTTATCGCACCCACTCTGATTGATAACACATAGTACTGTCTCTCTCTTATTGGCTATGGCCACCGTGAGAATAAAGATAATAATGTACATTAATAATAATAATAATGACAGTTCGCATTTCACTCATTGCATGAGGTCAACGCATCTGTTAACAATTTCGAGCCAAGCAGCTCTATCAGAAGCAGATTGCACAGCATCCAGAAGCGACAGATTAATGCATTGTAAGTCTTTCTTGACAACGTCGATCCATCTCAGACGTGGCCGTCCTCGGGGTCGTCGTATGTCTGTTGTGTTGATCGACATTAGGAGGGCTTGGAAAGAGGACGATTCTTCGCCTTCCCTCACTACATGGCCGAACCACAGCAGTCTCCGTTGCCTGCAGACTTGGGATAGTGGGGTCTGCTCGGTTCTGGCATACAGCGCTGTGTTCGAGATTCGTTGTGGGTACGTGATACCAATGATGGTACGTAGTTTCTTCCGGTGCCATACATTGACGACGTCGGTTAATGTTTGCGATAAGGTCCAAAGCGCACAATTATACAGCAAGACAGGCAATATCAGGCAGGAAAACATACACAGCCTGGAATTCAGGTTGTGGCGTTTCCATGGAATGCCTGCAAATGCCCGATTTGCAGCAGACACTCTAGCTGCTATGTCTTCTGCTGTGCCTAGCATACTCCCCAGCAGCTTCACCGATTTCCAGGAATCATCTTCCTTGGTCACAGTGAAATATTGAGTTTTTGCCACGTTCAGCTTCAGATTGTCATCCGAGAAAACGGGTTCACACACACGGACGGTTTCTTCCACAGATGATCGCTCGTTCTGATGGGCAGTGGTGTCGTCTGCGTATTGTGTGAAAGTTGCTGGTAGGTCTGACGCGGGTAGAGCTTGCTCTCGGATCCTACGCATGGAACCTTCGGCGTAAGTTATAAACATTATAGTCAGCTAAAAACCTTTTCGCACCCTGGCTGACGAATTTCTTCAACGCTGTTCAAGCTACAGAGTACTGTCCTGACGACATGCGCTGCGGCCTCATCGTTCCCATCTACAAAGCCGGCAAGCCTCTAGGACATCCAAAAAGCTACCGCCCCGTTATGCTCCTTTCCGTCGTCCGTAAGATCTTGACGTCAATACTCACTCGACGACACACACTCCATGTGCAGTCATATGTGGCAGAGAGCCAAGCTGGTTTCCGCCCTGGCAGATCGACCACGGATGGTGTCTTTTACGCCAGGACGATGTGTGAGCGCGCACTACTTGGCGACTGGTCATATTCATCGGCACTATTGGACTTCAGCGGTGCGTTTGACACTGTCATTCGTCAGGTTGCTCTGGAGAGGTTAGCCACTGCTGGCGCACCAACGTCCACCACTGCAGTCCTAGTATCAAACACAACAGCCCGCACGAAGCTTGGTAAACAACTAAGCAAACCATTTCCAACATGTTTAATGTACATTGTGCCATGGGAAAAGTCAGCTTGTACGATCCGAAGTACGGAAAGGTTTGCGTTTACGTTAGCGCTTTTTTTAGCTAAGGATATCTAATAGTGAGGTTCTGCTTCAGGTTACGGGGATGCGATGCGAAGAATCTCCGGACCTCTCTTCGCGTTTCCGTAGTGCTAAGAACATCTGTTGTGCTCTACGCCACGTAGAGACAGCACGTGGAATGTGCACTGGGAATTTCTCCTTCCATATTTGGTATTTGATCGATGCCCAGCAGGTCTCTACGCTTTGCATGTGCCACAACGTAGAGAACAGCATCTAGTCGTAGAAATCTGGACTCAAAACATGCCAAGATGTAGACTCTAGCCCAGACACCTAAACATGTTAACCATACAGCTTGCTTAAGAGCGCCTAGGTCTATTGCTTTATAACCTAATAGTGTAACCTTTCATTTACTGTTTTCTAGCTGTGACCTGCCAGGTGCAACCTATCAGCAGCGGGACATCTAGCCAAACAGGGACGATCAGATATCAAGAATCCGTAATCTACACCTGCAATACTGGCTACACACTGAGTGGAGTGAGCACAGCAACATGTGCAGCTGATGGCACTATACTAACACCCAGTTGTCAAGGTGAGCAAAACGGGTATCAATGTATCCTGATTAGATGACGAGTATAACAAAGTGTGCCAGCCTTTTAACACTGTTATTCGTGCAACTGATGATGTACGGGTCACACAATGCAGGATGTACTGTTGTTTTCATGATATCTGCAACTATGTGAGAGAGACACCAAAAAGTTAGGGTGCCAGTTTCCAATGAATCGACTGTAAGCATGCACTGACGCGATTCAGAAAAAAAGCTGACAAGCAGACGGGAATACTTCCTTAGGGACCATCGCAAAAGTTCGCAGAAGCCCCCGAAACGAAGACCGTTAGTTTCGGGCCTGACCCCCCCCCCCCCCCCCTCCCTCCCCCCTCAAACGAAACGACAGTCACAATATGGGCTGCATTATTTCACTTGGATGCTCACAAATAATAATTATTATAATATACTACACAAGCATTGTTGTATCAGTGTGTAACAATGTACAGCACTTTATAAATGCAACGATGATATCACCTTGCAGTGGGTGATCTAAGAACGAGAACAGCTAGAGCTATGCAGTTGTATCCTTTGAGCATGCTAATCTATATCAGCTCCTACATGTCGTCAATACTTTTTTTGAATTGAAGCCCGGTTTGCGATTTTCGACACCGACTCCCTCCCCCCCCCCCCCCCCCAAACGTATGCTCTTCGTTTCAGGGGCTTCTGCGAACTTTTGCGATGGTCCCTTAGTACAATAGAACAAAGAATGGTGACAGTTGCAAGCATACAGTACTCAAAACCAAATGAGCACGTGAAGAGCTTTGAAAAGAAAACGCTGTATGCGCCAGATCTTCAAAATCGAGATTTTTGACCCAACTGAAAGATCACATCGAGGTGAATTTGATCGCGAGGTCATTTTCGGCGAAAATGCAGTACATCCTACAGAAAACCCCATTCAAACAGTGTACGTATAGAATATAAGCTGAGCCCCGAGTGTTTACGGGAAACAAAAACCCTAGGCAAAAAAACGAGGCGATGCCGAGATTTTTGCCGAGGGTTTTTCTCGTAAACACGAGGGCGAAGCTTATATTCTATTTAAATTATAGCATAAAAACCTCCAGTCATTTTCCTAAAAAGTGGTTTTTATAACACCAGGTTTTTTATACAGGTTTTTACAGCACCAGGTTTTTTATACAGGTTTGTTTATACGAGTGATTACCAGAAATATAACCTGCTTTTTAGAACACGCAAATGACTAGAGGTTTTTTGATACCATAATTTAAATTTGAATATTGATATGTTGTATCATGATGTTTGAACCGTGGTACATGCTGCTGCGCTTTTGCAACAGTTCTACTCACATTCATTTTAGTCATCAGCTTAGTACACACAGTTCCGGCATTGCATTGCTGATACATTCACCTATCGTGCTGACGAGTGCACCACATTTCTGGATATTATTCCCAATCCAGTTGTCTTTCAGTTCACCAGGCGTCTCCTAAGAGCAAGAACAAAGTATTCTCTCCAACAAGCAGTTTCGCCTTCTGTTGCGAGAGAGGTACAGTTCACCTTTAGCTAGATGATAGATACATCATACACACACTACAATGTAGGCCAGTTAGGTCTATATCATGTCTCTGTCCAGTGGAATTCCTTGGCACGGCCGTTATTCTCACATAATGTTCCTTGTTTATGCAGGCAGGGAAGCAGGTCCCTTGAGCGGTCGTCTTACACAGGTTTTACTGCACTTCTTCCAGTAGATGGGTTCATCTATAATGTGGTCTCTGTTACCAGGTGGTCTCCTGATCCAGGGTCATTTTACTGGAAATAGCATTCCTTGCTCCTGGTTTCAGTGGTCTTCTTGGACAGGTAGTCGCCTTATCCGAGTGGCCGCCTTGACCGGTTTTACTGTAATATTTTCCATCAAAACCTGTCAAAACAACAAACACACCCGTAGTCACATGTAAGCGCATCCAGGGATCACGGCCACCACGCTCTATCAGCAGGACAGGACACTAGGCTCAGAAAACACAGCATGCCTGAAGACCAGAGCAATGCCGCAGTCCCGATTGTTGCCTCCTAACACACGTATCATGTGTAGGCACGTTGTACGTTAGCCAAGGATGGAAAACGCGTGACTTGCTTTCACCTTCTCCGTACATATGCATGTTATTTTGATATGAACAAAATAATGTGAAAACGTCAGAAGGGTAAGTTACATCAAATAGTCTATTCACCGGTATACGATGTACTGATACATTTACTGCTACTAGCAAGAGTATATAAGCCCCCCAAGAGTGGGCAACTGTGCACATGGGATCTCCGACGGCGAAAACTCACATCACATGTCTCAAGTACGTTGTGTACTGCGTACAGACGAAGGATAGGGTGCGCGCAATCCGAATATCTGCCGTGATCATGCTGGTGAGTTGCATACGCGCAGTGAGTTTCTGCGAGAGAGTGCTTTTTTTATTACTCCGCTGCTCACTAAAAACTGGCTGGAAGCGTACAACTGCGACACTACACCACGTGATGCGAGCTTTCACCGCCGGTGAGCCCATAGAAAGGGTATCAGGAGTTTGCACACACTTCGGGGCTTATAATTATACTTTTGCTACTAGTAGCTGACCCTGCTTTCGTTTGACTCCATTTTTCCTTCCAGTTACCCCGACTACCGAAGCTCCCACTACGACTCCAGCTCCCACGACTACCGCAGCCCCCACTACAACTCCAGTTCCCACGACAACCGCAGCCCCCACTACGACTCCAGCTCCCACGACTACCGCAGCCCCCACTACAACTCCAGTTCCTACGACTACCGCAGTCCCCACTACAACTCCAGTTCCCACGACAACCGCAGCCCCCACTACGACTCCAGTTCCCCCGACTACTGTAGCCCCCACTACGACTCCAGCTCCCACGACTACCGCAGCCCCCACTACAACTCCAGTTCCTACGACTACCGCAGTCCCCACTACAACTCCAGTTCCCATGACAACTGCAGCCCCCACCACAACTCCAGTTCCTACGACAACCACTGCCCCCACCACGACAGACAGTGTTACCATTACCACTAATATTAACGCAACAATGGCAGTCCCCACGATGCCTCAAGTTGCCACCGCTAATGAAAGCTCGGCTGCCACCACTAGTCAAACAGCAGATACGGTTTCCCCCGGGCAGAATTCAACCACACCTTCCTCTGGGCAGAATGGAACCACACCAGATGCGGGGCAGGTGCCACACGGGGGACATTCGGAGAATGGGTCCACGCACACCGCAGAAACTACCCAGGAAACCAAAACAACGAACGAATCTACGTTGGGAACAAAGACTGAGCTTCCATTCGTACCGCCCCACGATAATGTGTCCCGCACAAGCCCTCCGCCAGACCAAGAAGCAACAGCAACCAGTTCCTTCTCACAGCTTGAGAACGGCCCAGCAGTCACAGGTATGTGCTAGTATCCGAGTGTATTGTATGCAATGCTCTGCCTGTCTCTGACGCTGTGTATTGTATGCAATGCTCTGCCTATCTCTGACGCTGTGTATTGTATGCAATGCTCTGCCTATCTCTGACGCTGTGTTTACGCGAGGCGTTTCAACCCGGGTTTAGTTCGACCCGGGTCAAGTTAGGCCCACCGGAACCGGTCTGGTTGGTCAGGTTATCACCGGATCAAATTGTTGGCCACCACCAAATGTTTCCTACTGTGGAGGACGTGTGTACCCGCCATATCACACACAAAGTATAAAAGGCCATGAAACTACCGGACCAATCAAAAACTGCTTCTGGCGGTACTGCAAGTTTCAACCCGCCATGAACACAGGTTGACTGGTGCGTTTACATGACACATAGCGCTTGACCCGGGTTAAAATTTCGCCCCGGTTTGAAATCGAGAAATCGTACTAACGTACTTCTGTGTGTATCTCGCACCATGTTTGAACAGCACTGCACATGCAATTTTCACACGAAAGTATTCACGTGACCATACAGGACTCTAGAAGTGGACTTTTGGCGGCATATCAGTATTTGACCCGGGTCAACTGTCTTCATGTAAACACCCACCTACCTTTTCCACCGTACAGACTTTCTACCCAGGCCGAACTCGACCCGGGTTGAAAATCCCTCATGTACACGCAGCCTCAGTTTGTTGACTATGGCCAATGGGCTGGCTGGAGTTCTCCGTTTTGTTGGCGAATTGCAAAACGTTTCCTTGATCATCTGACACTTACTGACTGTCTACCACCTGGTTGACATGTTCGCGCTGGGTCTGATCTATTCATCTGTTCCACCCCCTCCCCCACAGGGGCGGATCCAGGAGGCATTCCAGGGTTTCCGTGGAACCCCCTAAATTCCCTAAATGTACTGTAAATATACAAAATTTCGGCGCTGCAAAATTTCGGCACTTCACGATTTTTGACATTTCGGCGGCGATTTATTTTCGGCGTGGGGTACTGGGTAGAGGGTATGGTATAGTGCGACAGATGCTGTGAAAAATTTCATCGGCGTTTTAATTTAGGCGTTTTGGGTCGGTGCCGAATACAGCCGAAATTAAATAGCTGCCGAAAATTTGTATATTTACAGTACTACCGACAACCATTTGTGTGTCCGTGTACATGTATCAGCTATAGACCTTATTCGATAAACGTCACAATCACGTGAACCGGGGTCCCGGGAACCAGGGAGTGGCAAGAGATCTGCGCTCAGTGCACAGTGGACTCTGTGTGCGAACATAGGAGTAGATAAATACCGGTATTTTACTACTCTTTTGTACAAACTGGGCCTTTCTTGCCACTCGTTTCTCGTACGCGTGCCCTAGCTTATGACAAATCCCTGGAGGCGAGTCCAAAAATCACGTGATCGAGTAAGGTCTATACACACTTGACTGTATCAGGTATATTCAGTTTTGACTGTACTGGAGCCCCCCCCCCCCCCCCTGTAGAGATCGCTGGATCCGCCGCTGCCCCAGCTTTAGGAGCTGCCTCTGCACCTTGATACTTAAGGGTGACTGCGTTCAAACGGGATGTGGAACACTGGGTCTAATCGAGTCTCTTCGCGAACCGCTAAATTTCTTTCAGGTTCTGGTGGTGAAGAGTATTGATGATGAAAATTACTTGAACATGTTGATGGTGTGTTGTCAACATGTAGAACAGTTGCAAACAAAGCATCTTGTGTTCGTCAGGCGGTCCGGTGGACAGTAAGGCGAGTTCGCTTGGGTCTGGCTGATTGCCATACTGTAAATCTACAAACCGTCAGCGTTTCAGCGCATGACTGTTAAAGTCACATGGATCTTTCAGCCTGTAATGCCCTTACCTGTGTTCCCAGTCACACTGTTCATTGCAAATTGATATTTTCAGCCGCAAGAACTTTCAGGCCTCAAATGCCCAGGCCGGAAATAGCCGAAAGTCGCCGAAAATCGATATGCGCCAACTATTAGTTGATTCGCTGTGGCTTGGCAACTGTTGAATGCGTGCGTGTACTACTCTGCGTGTGATGAACTGTGACGTTCGGAGTTGGAAGAATGGGTGCATTGCATTGTTTATGTTGTCAGTAAAATACTCGTACTCCCTCGAAATCCGCGAGTACTCGAGTCTTCAATTTTGGCACTGTTTTCACTCCTAGCCGATACCCACGGCCAATCGGGTACCCACAGCTGCGGAGTGAGAAGAACAAAGATGCCGTTTATGGGTTTTTTGGCATTTTACTTGCGCGATTGGTTGAGAACCTCGCCTCCTCTCCCCTGACTCACTTGTGCGGTCTGCATTCAGCACTAAGGCGAATAGGCATAGTGGTGGCCTGCGGATGCGAAACCTAAGCTGTGTGTTTCTGAACATTCAAGCAATGCTGACGCAGATCCCGCGAACAGTATATCATTAGCAGCTTTCTCACCATTCTTGGGCCACAGCAAGAGCATAGCAATGAAATCCAAGCATCTCAGTTGAAGTGACGCAAACGTAGCAGAGCACATGACAACAAGTATCCAAAACCGATCGTATACAACCATGATTGCAGGTCAATGATTGCCGAGTCGCCTTCATTAAGTAACCTTCCTACAGTCAGGCCTGTGCTTGTATGCATGCAGCTGCCTTAGTATTACCTACTGTACATATTGGGTGTGGACTGCACTCAGTCTCTTTTCTGGCGGCAGGTCGGTGGAACGCTCTTCCTCCAAACTGTCGTCAGGCACAATCTGCTGACACTTTTGCTCACCTCACAAAGATTCGCCTAGGGTTCCGTGTAACAGGCCATGCCTGTTGGGACTCCCCTAGTCAAATAATAAATACTCCTAACACAAGTACTATGCTCCAGTATACTTAACTCGCATGGTGAGCCAATTAAATTATTGTGAAAAGAAGAAGGACAAAATGTTACGAGTTATGACTAACTGTCCACCAACGTAACCAGATCTTAGTACTCCTTGTCAGTTTTGTGCCATTTTGTCGCACTCGCTGACTGTATAAGATCTGGTTACGTTGGTGGACAGTTTAGTCATAACTCGTAACATTCTGTCCTTCTTCTGCTCCAGTATACAATCTCTCCCAGCTGCATGGCCGTTTTGCTCTACTAACAGTTATACCATCCATTAGCCTTTGTTTGCATAAGTTTTACATCTGGCCAAAAGTTTGTTTCAAGTCACAGGGAAAGTGCAGTGGTTGCTTTTCCGCACCACATCGGATGTACTAGTAGCTGCTTGATGCAGTGAAAGTAAGACACCATACCTGGCCAATAGAAAGGAGATCACATAAATTCATTCCAATCACATAGGAACTGACTACGTGACCTGTCTTTCTGTCCCACAGATAATGAGAGCTCCCCTCAGGAGATTACATCATAGCATTAACTGACTACATGACCTGTCTCTCTGTCCCACAGACAATGAGAGCTCCCCTCAGGAGATTACATCATAGCATTAACTGACTACGTGACCTGTCTCTGTGTCCCACAGACAATTAGAGCTCCCCTCAGGAGATTACATCATAGCATTTACTGACTACGTGACCTGTCTCTCTGTCCCACAGACAATGAGAGCTCCCCTCGGGAGATTACATCATAGCATTAACTGAGTATGTGACCTGTCCATCTGTGCCTGCAGATGACGGGAGCGCCTCTAAGAACACGAAATCCTTCACCACGGTCATCGCCTCATGTGGTGCAGTGATCGCCGTTGTTGTTGCCTTCATTGTGGTGATGGTGTTGCGGCGGCGTTCTCTTAACATTCCCGGAGAGGCTGACATGACCATGGTTATGGGGTGAGTTCCCCCCCCCCCCTCTCTCTCTCTCTCTCTCTATCTATCTATCTATCTATCTCTCTCTCTCTCTCTCTCTCTCTCTATCTCTATCTCTCTATCTATCTAGACAGTTGTCTAAAGTCCTTAGGCTGCTTACAGTGCTCAATGTCCAGTGGACAGAGCCAGTAATACAAATATTGCTGTGTAATATTATTTTGTCTCTCTCTATCTATCTATCTATCTCTCTATCTCTATGTCTCCCTCCATCTATCTATCTATCTTTCTCTCTCTCTCTCTCTCTCTCTCTCTCTCTCTCTCTCTCTCTCTCTCTCTCCGTCTCCGTCTCCGTCTCCGTCTCCGTCTCCGTCTCTGTCTCTGTCTTCGTCTCCGCCCCCGCCTCTCTCTCTCTCTCTCACACACACACACGCACACACACACACACACACACACACACACACACACACACACGCACACACACACACACACATGCAGACACGCCCTCCTTGCCCTTTGCTTTCGGAGTTCTCATTCTCTGATTGATTACAGTAAGCATGACATAATGGTAGCGACTTCGGGGATGATTACATGAGAAAAGTGTTTGATCCCCACGCCAGAGCTCGCGCGTCTACAGTGCCAAGTCCAGTCGGATAAAAGCAAACACTCTCCCTATTTTTACAGGCAATCTTGAGGATTGCAACCTCGGGCCACGACGGGTCACATGATTTCGGCCATTTTGTTCCACTGTCCTCATGCCATGATCATTGTTTTCACGAATTTAGTCACGTGACAAAGCTGTGATCAGCACACTGCGGGAACCTTGACATACGACAAAGGCCGGCGTGCGCAAAGTGCGGATATCTGCCGGAATGCATCTGATGAATCGCATATGCGGTGTGGGTTTCTACCAGGGGTGCTAATTTTACTACTCCTGTGGTTGCTAAAACGGCCTGGTAATGAACACCGTCACAAGTACAGAGAGTGACGTGTGTTTTCCTGCTCGCAGGTTCACATAGAAAGGGAATCCGGAGTTGCCTACTCATTGAAGCTTTAAACAATTATTATATCCTTGATCTTACACACACTTGAGAGGAATCAAAAAGCGTTCCTGCTGGAACTCCCTCCAAGTTATCCTTTATCTTAGACGAGACCAATACAAATTAGAGATTCCCGGGCCCTCCTATCCATCACCAAAATCGAGCTGAAGTCAATTTTTGGAACAGCTCATATAAATGTACAGTACTGATCGTGTGAGTAGATCTGTGACGTGGAGTCACACAAACCCAGGCTTGTACGACTCCCTGATGTACAGATCAGGGCCATCGTTGGCCGAAATACAGAAAATTGAACGGGTAAACCGCGTACCTGTTGTCTGTAAAATGAATAAAAAAATTAAAAATTACCGGAAAATACTGTAAAAAAGTTCAGCATGGCATGCATACGTACGTACGTAGGAAAAGAATAAAAATAATAATAATAAAAGTTGCCCGCCCGCACCAATTTCACATGGGTCCTGCCCGGGAATCTCGATTTTATTTAAACATTTTTGGAAAAAAACACCCGAAAACACTGTATACAAAGTTCAACATGCCATGCATCCATACATAAGAAAAACAATCGCCCACCCGCACCAATTTCACATGGGCTCTGCCCAGGAATATCGATTTATTTTTGGATTCCCCTTATCCCCCTTAGGCCACACTTTGTTTTTTCTATGTTTCTCGTCATCGCCAGCGTAGGTTTTCAGAAATTTCGGAAGAAAAAAAAAGGTCATACTACGTACATGTGTACATGTATGTACGCTGCACATGCTGCAGCAGCTAGATGCGTCAATCAATAGTCGTAAACGTTTGCACCACAGCATGCAGCAAAGGAGCGCTCCTCGCCCGTTCTCTGCGCTGAAGGCTGTCATGACGAAGCTTTCAGTCGTTCACTGGCTGAGCTGAGCCTCGTGGGTCCCAGGAACAGTAAGTCAGACGAGTTCCGCGGCAACTGGCTTCTGTGGAACGATGTCGTAGGCAGAAAATCCAAGCAATAGACGCATGGCAAGGAAAAGATGAGCAGCATGGAGACAAGAGTTTGATAAGCGGAGGCAAGAGTTTGATAAGCGGACACAAGAACGTTGAAGTAACAAAATAAAAAATTAATGACGAGTGGGAAACGTTTGTTGATGCGATAGCAGATAAATGTATGTTCTCTTTGCCATCTCGCAATCAAACCTTATGGTCTCATTGACATTGTTGCAGTTTGCCTGATATTCGTGGGCTGATGTGATAATGTAGTGCAATCATGTATGGGACTACATGTACATGATTGTACAATGTAGTACTGTATACATGGTATACGCAGTGTCTTGTCTCAATCACGCATATACATGTACATTGAAAAATGTATACAGTTTTCAGTAGAAATTGTTCTTGTTTTTTCCTTGGCTTTTGTTTTTTTTCCGCCCGCCCGCGTACCTTTTGTTAAAATTTGCCGACGAGAAACATAGAAAAAACAAAGTGTGGCCTTACTGTGAATATCTGAAGACTTCTCGAAAGGTAGATGTGAGCGCAGCTAAGTAATTATGTTCAATTGTGTTGTTGTCACAGGAATAAGACGCATCGGTTGGATAGCATGCACAGCGAGGATGAGCTACCGACGTACCCAACGCACGTATCCAGCAGCAGCGGTCAGTGGGAGCCTGCCTTCGAGCAGCGCGCCTCCACCGCCTCGGCGCCGAGCATTTCCGAGCAGCCGCGACTCTCCAGCTCGGCGTCGACCTTGCCGTTTGCGCACATGTCCTCCACGGCAGTGGACGCGAACAGTGTTGACATCCTGTCTGTTCCCGCCCTCGGCAGTTACAGCACTACCGACCAGCTGGACAACACGAGCATTAACGAGCAGCTTTCCGGCCACCCTGGCAACGAGTATTCACTATTTGTCCACGAGCAGACCGAATACGACCGTGCTCTGGAAGCCAGTGCGGCTCGGTCCGGTTCCACCTCACGCCACTAGGTGATCGCACCGCACCCCTGTTCCAATCCTCTAAGCCCACGTCATTAATTTTATCAAACTTGCAGAGTAGCGGTGTTGTCGCTTCTCTTAGCTATGTTAATTTTACCCGCGTACTTTCATCTCCGTACATAAACTACCCACCCTGTGCGTCAACTGCCTGTTTCTTGTGATTTTTCAGGAACGTGACTGTTTTTAAACTGTCCCAGTTGTTGGCCAATATCTTCAACTGGTGAACTAGATACAGCCAGTCCTGAATTTTGAGTGGATAGAGAAAAAAAGAACTTGAAGTATAATGTTGTTTGTGCTAAGCAGAGCAACATGCTACAATCGTATCCCCGATCCCTTGATTTCTACGTCCCTTTGACGTGGTTCACTCAGTCTAACGTGTTTTTCGTTCTCTTCAATTCGGTCTGATATTTACAATTTCTTGACCTACCTGGCTGGGGGTGTAGTAGGAGTAATGAGTGCGCACTTGATTTTGTTCAAAGGTTTATTTAAAATGTTATCAATGTATAATGTACATGTATATGTAATTTGTCCGAGATGCTCCAGTGTGACGGCATGCAGTATTCTGTACGAGGTGATTTGGCTTTTTTAACAGGTGGAATTTTTTACCAAACATTTTACGTATTTAATTAATGTGTAAAATTTGCTTTTCTTCTGGCTGCTTCTCTGCTCCGGATGGCTGTATCGAAACATGGGTGGTGGCAAATGAGAGCCAGTTTATCGTAGATCAACATTGACCAGAAAATTTGGTACATAAACGAGAGAGCTTGGAAGCTCAGGGCCCTACGCTATGCTTTTATGCTTTTTTGCCTAGCTCATCGTACATGTTATAAGAACTGAGGCGAAAGTATTGGCAGGTGTGTTTGTGTCACGCCTGGCGCTTTCCCGTATCTGTCCCGTACCGTACCATCAAACACAGCTGGCCACATACAGCTGGTCGCAATATTCAAATACGGATTTCAAACGCAAGATCATAACGTGAAGCAACTTGGAAGAATGGGTATGAATGCGAAGTGTATGGGGGAATGCATGTAGGGCGATAGTGCGGGTTCGAATCCCAGGATATGCCTGAAAAAATAGGAGAATTGAAAAATTTATAACATCCCTATGCTTTTTTTGCCGTCAGCAAGGCGGTAGACGGTGTCGTATTACCCTCGATCGTACCTGTCCCGTACCGTACTATCAAAGACGGCCGGCCACAATGCATAATTCAAATAGGGCTTTCAAAATAATGCAAGATCATAACATAACGTGAAGCAACTTGGAAGAATTAGGCTGTGTTTACATGAGGCGTTTCAACCCGGGTCAGATTTCAACCCGCCTTGTGCACAAAGTTAATGGCGCGTTTACATGACGCATTGCGCTTGACCCGGGTTGAAATTTCGCCCCGGGTTGATTTCAACCCTCCCCCCAAGGGGAGGGTTGAAACCAGGGAGTCGTAAAAGCCCGGGAGAGGACACGGGATGCGCGCACGCGGACGATGTTTGCCTCGGCCAGAAAGTGAAGCACGCTAGGCCGGCGCGGCCGGATCTGCTCGATCCACGGCGCTGTGCTCGTCTTCAGTGCAGGGAGTCCTAAAATACCAATATTTTACAACTCGTTGACACCATATCCGAAACTGGTGGCGAAGGAAGCATAAACATGATTGTGTGTCTGTCTGTCAGACTCAGTACACATGGTACAGGGGGTGGGGAGTTGGGTGTGTATGTGGGGGGGGGGGGGGGGAGGCGTGTGTATGTGCACATGTGCTTTTACTTTTGTGTGTGTTTGTACAGTGTTTGTGTGCGCGTGCGTGCGTGTGTGCGCATTTTGTGCACAATTCCGTTATGAAGTACAAATGATAGGTTCACCTTTTGTACACTCGCCAAGACTTCGGTTAGATTCACTGAGAACCTTTCTGGCCAACCTGGAGGCTGAGCTTTCCGTTTCCTAAACGGCTAAAGTCACCGCGTATCAAGTATACGAGTAGAAAAGTGTTGAAATTATCAAGATTTATAAATAACGACCTGCAACCATGTACAATGTAGATACAGTCAACTTCGCTAATAACGACTGCGGATATAACGACAATTCGCGAATAACGACCGAATTTCCATGCCCGGAGCAAAGTTCCATCTAACTGTACACATTTTACTTCGGATATAACGACTATCTGAATAACGACAATTCGCGTATAGCGACATGCTTTTAGTGCCCCGAGGTCATATTCACTGCTTGAATAACGACTTTCTGGGCTTTTGACAGCTATTTCAAGTACCTGTCAGTCAAGTACATGTACATGTACATGTACCTGTCATGCAGAAGTACCAGAACCTATGGTGATGGATATAATGCACACATGCAAGAAAATGCAGCCAAGGGGGGGGGGGGGCTTTTCTTCCTTTTTATGTTGGCTTCAAAATTGTTGGATTTACCAGCACACCTACATGTATATGTATACAATGTACATGTAGTTGTACAAGATTGTACAGTAATCATCATACATGTACATGTCTCTGGCCCTGTAGATGGCTCAAAAAGGCATACTTTTCAATTGATTTCCCTTGCATATTGAATTTTTAGTTCCTTTCAACTGCAATATGAAAATAAAGTACACATTGACAATTTGACATAGAGCAAGAAAAGAGCTTGATTTTGATATGCATGTCATACTATACAAAATATTGGTTCACATACATTCAAATGGGACTTCGGTTATAAGGACACTTCGCGAATAAGGACACTTTTCTGATGCCCCGCCGAATGTCGTTATTGGCGAAGTTGACTGTAGATAGGGAGCACACATTGATTGTTTTTAAAAGAATCCAGGCAATATCATGAATCATGGAACGAGTGCGTAATAATGCTCTACGTTGCGTTTTGACGATGCTGAAGGAAGGGAGCCGTTGCGATTCACTCACAACACACGCACAGAAGTCCACTCGACTGCAATTTCAGTGCAATTTCTGACACAAATTCATAACTCCACGAGTACGAGGAAGCTCAGCGGATCTCCACAAGAACTTTCGCCCATCACCTGCAATGGAATATGGGCTGTATGATACGACCAGCGGCTAACACGGGAAGTGGCTTCATTTTCCCCAAATTTCGTTTCATTCACAACCATGTGGCTGCAATTTCAGTGCAATTTCTGCCAAAAATTCAACTCCACGAGTACGAGGAAGCTCAGCGGATCTCCACAAGAACTTTCGCCCATCAACTGCAATGGAATATGGGCTGTATGATTCGACCAGCGGCTAACACGGGAAGTGGCGTCATTTTCCACAAATCTCGTTTCATTCACAACCACTTGACTGCAATTCAGTGCAATTTCTGCCACAAATTCAACTCCACGAGTACGAGGAAGCTCAGCGGATCTCAACACGAACGTTCGCCCATCACCTGCAATGGAATATGGGCTGTATGATACGACCAGCGGCTAACACGGGAAGTGGCGTCATTTTCCACAAATCTCATTTCGTTCACCCCAACTCAAATTAAATTGAAGTACAATTAGGGATTTATCTTGCATTTCCATCGCCTCAGAATAAATTAACTTCGATAAACTGAGAGAGAATGAGTGAAGCAGCTGGAAGAATTGAGGATGAAAATAGAGATCAGAAGACTCGACGGAGCAATCGTCTCCGTGCTCTAAGAGAAACTGGAGAATGTCCCAATTAGTATTTCAAGAAGACATCACAATTTTCGAAAATAATAATGTCCTTGCCTCGCAACACCGTTCCCTGGCAGCGTTCCCCGGCAGCGCGAGGCAAAGATGTTTTCTGGGAATGTGGAGGTATATTATGTATCAGATTGCAACGACCAGGAGGCTCTTAGTAGTGGCTGCAAATGACCGATATCCGTCACTTGCAGCTCTGCATCAGAGACCTGTAGCTGGCCTGAAGAGTTGTAAAATTACTCCTTCGTAGCCGGGCGAGTCAGAGCGAGGGCGATTCACGGCTTGGTCAAAAAAACTGTCGGCCTGGAACGTAAACGTGGATCTGCCGACACAGTTCACCTGGTTCACACGCCTGACCTGGCATGCTGCCTTGCGTGAAAGGAACATTTTTCCGAAAGCAAGCTTCTTCTCCAAAATTCGAAATTTCCTTCCAAAAATGCCGTCGTCCTTGACCTCGAAGCTGAATGTTGTTAGGATAGAAAATTAGCGAAGATGTAGCCGACCCATTCTGGCAAGCCGTGTGCCCTCTGGATATGCAGTTGTTCGCCATGGTCAACAATCTTCTTCTCCTTCGTTCGTACTTTCACTTTCCTGACCACGAATACAAGCGGTACCCATGCTCAGGTTAGTGTTTATTTGTCTGTCTATGCACATACATGTACATGTAATACAATGTACTGTTCGTGCTGCAGGCACTGGCCGATCATGGAAATAGAGGAAGCAGCCAGCTTTCTTTGAATTCTCATCCTTTCAACAAAAATATGTACACACTTTCCTTGGCTCCTTTTTCCCACCGCAACCATGCATGCACTGCTTTTCAAATTTGTGTTTGCTTTGGCAGTGGTTTCATGGGCATCCTTCAGCCTTCCCTGGCATTCAAAATTCAGAATAGTTTCCACCCAGGTGCTAGTGCCTCTGTTCTGCTTAGCACATTGTAGTAATATTATTTGCAACTGTCCACCACTGCACTCTTGGCTCACATTCACCACACCATAGCGAGGAAGTTTGTTCTTGGATAGATGTCTGGAGGATGTAGAGCATCTATCCAAGAACGAACTTCCTCGCTATGGTGTGGTAAATGTGGGCCAAGAGCGCAGTGAGGAGAGGTGGACAGTTTCAAATTATTTAGCCACATCCGATCCTTTCTCCGATAATTATGGACATGTTTTACTATACCGGTATATTGAATGTCCACTCATGCTTCTATTGAGAGGTAACACTATTCAGGAAACTGAGGAAAGCCAACCGGTGTTGCACAGGATTTGAGGTTGGAAAGAAAAGATGTTCCGATAAAAGAACTGCGAGTACATGGGAAACGTATTATGGAAAGGGCAGTCTGAGTCGAACTAGGATCTCCTGTTCCAGAGCGTGAATATGAATAACGTGAAGTCGCGGATAAAAGCCGGGTTTGCATACAAGCACATCGCAGATAGGAGCCTGAAAATCAAACGGGTCGAATGCATATAAGCCCGTCGCGCGTAGAAGCCTTGCTCTATGCAAGCGCGGATCGGGTGGGTCAAGAGTGCATGCGCTATGTATGGTGCATAGTCAAACTGCCGCCATACCGGTAGTCAGTGGTAGATCTACGCGTGTCGCACGTAGAAGCCTGGCATACAAGTCTGGCAAAAATATCAGTGGTGCATAATAAGCATGGTTTGCATTAAAACCTGATGGAGAAAGCGGCTTATGTGCTTATAAGCCCGGCTTTTATCCGCGACTTTACGGTACAGTAGAATGCCGATATTCCGAACAATCACTTATTCGAAATGCCAGTTTTCATATTGAGGAGCTAGAGTGTGTCTAGTTCCTGTGAAGAGAATGTGAGAAATGATGGAAACGTGAAGGAATGTGCAAGTCTTAGATGGATGTGTGACTGTTCCGTTATCCGAATTTTTCCCCATCCGAACCCCCTGGAGAAAGCGTGCGCCCGAGGGGTGCGGATAATCTACACTCTGCTGTAACAGTTATGTACAATGCGTGCCGATGCACATTGGACAACGTTGCAAATGTATAATTGTAGGTGGACTGTGGTTCACATTAGACGATCGGAGTACTCCCACCA